AATAAGAATTACAGAAAAATTATTGTTAAATCCTGTAGTATTAGAGGGAGGTATTATGCATCCTCCTTCCCTGGGCACAGCCCTCTGGGGACAGATACTTTATTTCAATGAGAAAGGTAAAGTCCATGCCCGACCCCTCGCATAATGGATGGTCCATTTTACTAAATGGAACAATAAGCGCTATTTGATCAACGTTATTTGGAAAAAATACATTTTTAAATAGTGATTCGACATCATTTCAATCACACATTTTTCAATAAAATAATACTACACATAAATAAACAAAATTTTTCTTATTTTTTAACTACACATTTCTCATCATTACACTCTTCAAAAATGCATTTTTATAAAAATAATGTGGCTCAAACAGGGGCAAAATCATCGCTTCATTAGCATTCCACTAAACAAATGGAATTCAAGACAGTACAGAAAATTGTAACTATGGCCTGATATACACTCCACTTGACATGTAAATTACAAACTTTAAAGAACAATTAAAGCCAAATTCTGTATACCACTCATTTTCATGAACTGTAGGCAAAAGAATATACAAGAAAGTTGATAAGGTACTTGTATAGTTAAAATCGAAGATAATATATTATAAACAGAATATGTACAAGCAGAATGTCAAGTTTTTGAATTAGAACTATTTCAACTCCTTGAAGTGGAAGATTTGTTGTTGTCCTTTGTGAATGTCTGCATTCTGTTGGACAGTTCTGTTTTATTTGATACCATGAGACAATGAAATGACGAAATGTTGGGGAACAAACAATAAACAAGAATGACAGTACTAGAAAGCAAGCTGTGGTGCAATATAGTTCTAAAAAATGTAAATGCATTCTAAAAATTCGAGCCCAATTTGTACAATTTTACCTACCGATTTCACTTTCTTATTTCTGGCTACTTTTATCCCTCAGGAAAAGTTGCAACAAAACAGTCATTGTAGAATCATAGTGAATTGATCAGATAAAGAATGACAAAGGAAAAACATAAAATCGAGATTGTTGACGCTGAATGGGAGAATGTTAAATTTTATCATAATTGTTGTACACAGCTCTTAAGACCAAAGAAGGGGGAAGGGAAGAGCTCTTCATTCTTGGTTCTTTACTTCTCACTTCGGTCGATTAGACGGTCCTTTTGTTCTTCAAGAAAGATTGATTGGATCTATGAGGTTAGGTCTATGATGCAGATACATTGTTCTCCAACATGGGAAGGAAAACACTCCATTTCCTCAAAGCAATCACAAGGTATGTTACATTCACTCAAGTCATCACAAAACCAAATAATTGTTCAAAAAGACAACATGAACTGGTTCTTCATTTTGATTAAATCTTTTAAGAATGTTGTAATAAATCAGAGAGGTCATGTAGATCGTGGAAACAAACGATGCAGGCCAAAGAGCAGAGCCCGAAGAAATGAAATGTAAAAACTCGAATCTCAGAGGTTCATTTCTTGCAAACACTCTGGACTGAGAAAACTGGCTACAATATATGCATCAGCATCTACAACTTACTATCCGAACCGACAAATCACTGAAATATGAAGTAGTCAACTCCAAATATATTGGAAAAACGGATTACATTATTTTTGAACTGTTTGAATATTATCCCACATATCAAGATTATTGCATTCACATATATATTTTGTTTTAGGAATTCAAATTATCCCAGCATATGAGATTTACCAGTGAAATCATAGTATAATTTAATTAATAAGAGTAAATTTATTGAACAAAGAAATAAATGCATATGAATTTGAACTCACGTGTCTCCCTTGATCTTGAACCAGGTTTCAGCACAGTTCTTGTGAGCAGCTCCCAAATCACCTTTACAGTTACAACCCAATTCAATCAAAACTTCATCAAATTCTTCATCTCCTCGGCCCAAATCGCAATTTACAGTTTCTTCCGAGCTCAATTGACAAATTCTACAGTCCCGAATCGCTCTTTTTTCCTCTAAAGTGTTCTGCATTTGCAGATCCAAATCACCAGATTCTAGGTCAATCTCTTCTGAGTCTGAATTCACCGGACAATTGAATTTTTGACGGCGAACGCCCTTGGCGCGTTTAGAGAAGCTGCATTTTTCACCCCGCTCAACAGCCTCGGCGGCGGCAGAAGACTCCCATGTGCGGTTGTCGTCCGAGTCAGTGTCCGAAAAACGAAAGCTGCTTCCGTCTGTGGTTGTCTCGCTACTGCATGCCACAAATGGTCTCCTCCTCCGTCTGCGGCGACGGCGCTGACGGCGAGCATCACTACCAACACAAAAATTTGCATCTATATCCATGGGGGTAGTCGACATTCTAGCCCAAAATCACAGTCTTGAATACAGAGAGAAAAGGAAAAGTTAAATCATCATCAATATTCATCACAGAAAATGTGGTTTAAAGCTAGTGTCTTTGTAATAGAACTATATAGATATAGAGAAAGAGATTGATAGCGATGGCGATAGAGAGAGAAACACATGGGAGAATCAGTACAGATGATATCATTTTGTAAGGGCTGTATTCGCAGTTGTATGAAAAAGTTGGAGGTTTTTTACGATGTACATCTGGCATTTAGTTAATTAAATTATAAATTCTAGATAAGTTGAGATTTCAAGAATTCTTCAACAATAAAGAATCGACAAATTAATAATGACTATACACGTACAGATTGAGCATAGGATATTAGTATATATATATTTTTGGCCCCTGTTTGGCGACATTAATTTTGATTATAATGAAAGAAATAATTTTTTTTTTAAAAAATTGATTGTTGTAAAAAGAAATGAAAATTTTTTAATTTACGTATAATATTATTTTATTGAAGATTGTATTATTGAAAATAGGAGGGAAAAAAATTTTAATTTAATTTGATGAAATGTAATGGAGGCCAAACAGGGGATATATATCTTGTTAAAACATTTGTTGTGGTTTTGAACCTGAGGCGAATATAGTAAGATATCCAACAAGTTCAGTTGTTGACCTCAATTTATGAGCAGACGAGTAGTTAGTAGAACTTTGTCACCCTCCCCTCCACATAGGTATTAGTATCACGTGCGTACTTGAATGCCTTGTTAGGAGGCAAATGTCATCGACTGAGATGTCTTGCATTCGAATCCTACAATTGCGATAAAAATTTGTGAAAGGGAAGATCGGCTCGAGCTATCAAGAGCTGATTAACTACTTGGACATAGAGGCCGAGTCATTATACATGTATTTCAACTTCCAAAGTCTCTTTTCCCAAACAAAGCAACACCCAGTAACGCCAATATATTCTTCTATCACTTGTGTTGCTCGCTTCATTTTTAATTCTCCCAAAGGCAAAATAACAATGAGATATGACTTATTTTCATCAATTACTCGATCATTCCTTTCAATTTCTAATCGATGACCAAGACTTCACCAAACAAAGATAGAACTGATAGTTATTTTTCTACTACTCCAACACACTTTGTTGTGTTTTACATTTTTTTTTTTTTTTGGGTCCATTCTTCTGTTTTTGGGATCTTATTGATTTTTACTCTTCACTGTCGGCAGCCTTCTTTCCTTGTAAATTATCTCCTAAACATTGATCGTGAATAGGGTCACTACAATGTAGCTAAAAATTTTCCCATATACCACAGCTAGTGTAATTTCTTTTACATTTTTTGACTAACGATAGGAATTGAGAGATAATTAAGTGGTGATATTCTTGGTTTTGGATGGATCTAATCACCCCAAATTCTAAAAGAGTTTTCAATATGGTTCTAAATGAGCCCAGTAGTGTAGTAAACATATTCTAAAGTCTTAAAAGATGATAAGGTTGTTGACTACACAACTCAACTCATAGTAAACCATAAGTGGAATCAAGAATGAATACGTGCTTTACTTCCCTTATGATATCCCAAGGGCGGAGCGATGGGAACCTTCAAAGTTGGGGTTCAACCTTTAAGAATGAATATGTGCTGGAACTGATCGAAAGCTATGTATAAGATAATGTGATTCATAAATAAGTAAAAATTCGGATGCCCACATGAATCGATAATTTTTTTTTTTTTAATCTTAGATGTGCACAATATTATCATTGGATAGTGAATTATTTTGTACGAGTTAAGTCACACACAAACATGCATAATAAAGCTAAAAAAATTGTGTGTGTTTTTTTAAATCAAACACAAATTATTCATGCAGATTAAATTAAAAGAAATTTTAGAGTTCTCACCCCCAAAATTAATTCCTACATTGTCCTCAATGTAACACTCTAGAGTCCAAAATATAGAAATTTAGTGAAAGAGAGAGAGAATTTACACTTGTCGGATAAGTGTTGATAGATGGAGTTAGCCTTGAAATTTATAAAGTCTTTTCTTTTTCTTTATCCTCCTTCAAAAGGGATTTTTGTTCTTTATGCCAAATTTTCCTAAAATTGAAATTATAAGCAAAATTAGCAACAATCAATATAAATTATAATCAAGATCTAAAAAAATAAATAAATTCAAACACATCATTTACTTATCCCATCTATCTCAATTCAATATTAAAAAAAAAAAATTATAGAAAAGTTTCGAGAAAAATAATCTCATTGAAGGTATGCTTAGGATTTTGTATCACTTTGCATCCGTCCTCCAAAATTTTCCTTTGCCCTTCTCAAATTAGTAGGACTTTCATTCATCTCATGATTTAAACCCATCAATTCAATGTGTATTTCAATCTCCTCCACAATGTTTAATCACAAATTCAATTTTTGAATAAACAATAAAGTTGAAGGATTGCATGCTAATTCCATTTTCTTTAAATGCTATTAATTCTTTTTGGCCCATTATGATTAATTTCTCAGTCTCTTCATGCTTTTCTTCTTTTATTGTTGGTTACTCAGGTTGAATAATCGATCTACTATCTAAAATTTTGGACAGTTGTACAAGGAAATTTTGTGAGTATTCTCACATTCTTGTTGAAGATTAGTGGGGTTTCAATATTTAAACCTTCCGGCCAATAGAGATTTGAAAGTTGCTCCAAACTTGGATTGTATGTTTGCTCAAATGGATTATGTTGTACTCAATATTCCATTAATGTCCATAATAATCTTAATGGCAAATCATCCTCATCAACTTCACTTTCGCCATGTACTTGAAAACCTAGTAGTCCCTATAATACTCCAAAGCAAGTCATAATCAATTTCAACAAGTGCATCTTATCCATTCATTTTAAAGAGTGCTAAGGCAGAGAAATTCCCTGTAGTTGGGCTCTCTTCATTAATTTCGAAATTTCTCATCTCATGTCGTTGTTGAGCTACTGCTTCCTTTTGTTTTCTGTCAAAGAAATCAAGAAAAAAAGTAGATCAACTAATAAATAAATAAATAAATAAATAAACTAAAATAAAAGCCAGAATTAACAACAAAAACTAAAGAAAACAAACTCCCACAATGGTGTTATAAATTTGTTTGTGTAATTTCGCACGTGTATGAATCCTGCAAGTAATAAAATGAATTTTTAATTCAGTATCGTCTTCACATATGCTACTATCCACAATCAATTTTTTAAACTAACCTAACTTCAATTTATGTTAAAACGATAACCAAAATCAATTCAAGATGTGTTTTGTATCTATAGTTGAACTAAATTAAATAATCTAATTAAATCCAATTGAGAAAATTATGAGGTTAAATGGTTAGGATATTCGACTTCACTTAGTTTGTTAACGTTCATCTTATTTCAATTCATTCAGTACCTTTTCATACGTGTCAACAATCGGATTTACTTATTGTAGCTAGTGATTTCTCTCAAATAACACTAGTTCTGTTAATATGCCCAAATTTATTATATTTCTATTTAAATTTATAGGCATATGAATGCTTTAACCTACAAAAATTTTATATAAATTACATAGCCTATAATTATCTCTCGATTCCTTATAATATCTATGTTAATTATTGCATGGGCTAGAATATACAACCCCACTCAATATCAGTGTTATCCCTAAATCAATTAGTTATTGCACATTTAATTGAAGCATTAAACACACAATAAATAATTAACACGTATTAAAGTGCCATGGAATCTTGAAATTAAACAAATATTAAAAATGGTCAGCTACACCGTTATCCTAACATTTTTCAGCAATTAATCTTGTCAAAAACTCGTCTATGCGACCAACTTGAAGATCAATGATTGAATGATAATTTTGTTATATATTAAGAATAATATATTTAGCAAAATTGATTAAGTTGTAATTACATAACATTTTCATTGGAAATGTCTTTTTTAATAACTCTAGTAATGTATCGAAATGAATTCATCAGTGATACATTGTTTCAAATGTTTTTTGCCACTTAACTTTTTCTCACTCAATCCCGATTCCGCCACTCCATCAATATCGAAAAGAAATTGAGAGTATTCTTGTATTGTTCTACCCAATAAGGATAATAACCATATCATATATATCTAATATCAGAACTAGACCAAATATTAGTGATTTTTTACATGAAAGAAAGTATGATACTGAGATATTTGACGAATATAGTGTAAGAATAAATAAGGTTGAAAACTAGACTAGTGTAATGTTATTGTCGTTTCATTTCTATTATTTGTATTCTCATTTCCACTTTTGCACATGTCATTTCCATCATTTTCCATCCAATTTGTCCGTAATATAAGTGCATGCCTTGAACATAAGGGTGTCAATTTGGCTCATCTGCTCGGTGCCATTGGCACAACCCTGAAAAAGTTCGGGCCGGTCTGTCTCGAGGCTCTGGCCAGGCCCATTTTTGGGCCGACCATCGAGCCACATGGGCTGGTTCATGTCACGGACCGTTTTTGGAGGGTGTCCATATTTCTTGTGCCCTTCAATGTCTCCCAATTAAAAAGACGCCAAATCATCTAAAATTGGAGACAACAGGTGTGGATTCACTCACAATTATAAATTATTGTAAATTCAGTTGTAAAATCCAACATAATATATTTTGGGTTAAGAAGATATGCATCGATTACTAAACTCTTTCTGGTATTTAAATGAGTCCATGTGCATGAAAACTGAAATCTCTCAGCTAACAAAGTGCTGAGCTGAATACAATGACACTTATGTGAAGAGGGGGATGTTTATCAACTGTCTTTAAAGTGCTTTATGGATCGAAATACGAATTTTTCCTGACGTGATTTTTTTTTTCCGTTTTTTCATTGTTTTATTGAGTTCTCCAAATTATTTTTGTTTGTCGAAATCTACAAAAAATAAATAAATATTTATATATATTTAAATTCACACACTCTAGTATAAATTGTTTTGATCAAATAACTGTAGAAAAATAGAGAAGAACCTGTGTATAATAAGATATAGTCTACTTTCATTAAATAGTATACTTAATTACAACTGTGATATCAAATGAAATTACATAAAACATATATGGCATGCTCGGTACACATAGTATTGGATGGTAATAGACACGAACAAATATAAACTAATATCACGATCGTTAGTTGTATAGTCCTGTCCAGTACTGCATAGTAGATAGGGATGTATTTACATTGGAGCTGGAGCACAATCTACAGGTGAAGATGGAGAAGGAGCAGTAGCGGACATAGGACTAGCGGCAGCAGAAATAGGGCCAAGTGTTGCACCAGAACTTTGAATCTGAGCCATTGAACGGAGTGAATATGTTCGTTGAGATTTGCACAGATCAGGTAAAAATGCTCCTGTATCATGTTATCAAATACCATATTAGCATATGCTAACTATCACTGTGTCGAGTATCTCTTTATGAAAATTGTGTACGTATCATGACTTTAATAAAAAATGTCTGTGGGCAGTTCGTGAGAGCTAGAGGTGAATGGAGGAAAGCTCAGGCTTGCCCCTCGAGCCCAATTTTAATTTTATTTTTTAAGGTAAAATTTTTTGGTAAAAAAAAAAAAAAAGAAAAAAGAAAAAATTTCAATTGAATTTTTTTTAATGAATCAGCTCACTAGATATTTTTTTTGGTCCCCCAACGCTTTGCCCCTACGATTGTGTTGAAGACTTAAAATTAATAAATTTGTTTGTTATTTAATAAGTAAAGCCTTTAGATGAGGTTGTTTGAGAGAGAATTGGGTGTTGTGAGCATCACCTTCTCCGAGAGCCAAATTGTAGTAAAGATCGACAATGTTGGGACAGTTCTGGTAACACTGAGGTGAGCATAGTTTGGCAGTGAATTGAGAGTCGAGAAGGGCATCTGATGAGATCCCGACTGATTTTCGATCGACCCCACATGAACTCACGCATTCATCAGCCTCAATATACTCGTACAATTTAATAGCAACAACTTCAGATGTCTTGCACTGGAACTCCATAGTTCCATCATTTGATGAGTATGTCTCTAATAGGCATCGCTTCCCAGAAGACGCGATTGAGAATGAACACAATCCAACTGGCAATTCCTCGCATAATAATTCCCCTGCATCTAAGAAGGAAACGAAACAAAAATGTTAGTCGTTACACGGGATTGGTCAATAGATTGAGCAAACTAATAGAATTACTCGTGTTGTAGATTACCAAGAGCTCCCTGGAGGAAGATGGTAAAGGCAAGGAACATGAAAAATTTCATTTTAGCACAGAAGCTTGATTTGTACTTAAAAAAGTTTGGCTTGATGATGTTGGGAATGGAC